AGGCCACCTGAATTTTTCTTATCTTTCTAAACGCCTTCCTCATTTGTTTATTAATAAAAAATCGCAGTCGTTTAAAAGTCATGTTTGTCCTCTTGCTAAGTAAAAAAAATCCTCTTTATCTCCCATCTACATATAAACCGTCCCACCCATTTGCTTTAATCTATAGTGACATTTGGGGGGGCCTCTAGAGTGAAGAATATTATTGGGTGCCAGTGGTTTGTATCCTTCATTGATGATCTTAGTCAAACAACATGGACCTAACTAATGAAAGATAAATTTGAAACTATGTCTATTTTCGAAAGGTTCTATTCTATGGTTGAAACTCAATTTCATAGTCAATTAAAATATTTCAGTTTGATAATGGGGGAGAGTTCTTTAATAATGCTTTGGGTGCATTCTTTGCGAAAAAAGGCATCGTTCAGATTAGCTCTTGTGTGGATAAACCACAACAGAATGAAATTGCAGAACGCAAAAATCGACATTTATTGGAGGTGACTAGATCCATGTTATTTTCTGGGAATATGCCAAAATATTTGTGGGGAGAAGCCTTATAACTGCCACTTATCTTATAAACCGCCTACCTAGTAAGGTTCTTGAGTTTTAAACGCCTAAAGATGTTTTCTTAGAGTGTTTTTCTTCTTTTAAACTGTTTTCTTCTATTTTACCTTTTTGGATATTTGGTTGCATTGTTTTTGTTAAGAATATAGATCCTTCTAAGTCTAAATTGGATCCTTGGGCTCTAGAGTGTTTTTGTGGGTTATTCTTCACTTAAAAAGGGCTACAAGTGTTACTAGCCTCCTACTAAATTCATTTTTATTTCCTTGGATGTTACCTTTTTTTTAACAGAATCTTTATTATTCCAAGACTGCAATTCAGGGGGAGATTTGGACGGAATTTCAGCCTCATCAGGTACATCCATTCCATTTTTCTTCTATACCTTCAGATGATTTGCTCACTACATCCCTTAAGCATACTTGTGTTCATTCTCCTACTCCTATTACTACTCCTTTACCCACATTGTCCCTTTTTCACGTCCTACAACTAGGGATGGCAAACGGGCGGGTCAGGTGCGGATACCCCCTCCTACATCCCCATACCCACCTAATATTTTTCAATCCACCACCCATGATGGATAAAAATTTTCAAATCTATACCCGCTCACGCGAGTACATTCTCAAATCCATCCCCACACCCACCACCCACTACCTGCAACAACAATGATTCTTTGAACTCAACTATTCCATCAAAATCATGAGAAAATATCATCGAATTTAACCAAAACAAAAGCTGAGAACATTTAAGTTTTGTCAAAGCAAACTAAGATGATTTAAGACCTCCTAAAATAATAGCTCTTTAATGCATTTACTTATCATAAATAAATTTGAAAGATATGAGTAGAACATTCATTTACTCCTCTATTTATATGTTAACAGTAAGAAAAACAGTAAATTTGGTTGTGAGTCACAACCGTAAACACAATTGAATTATTTCTAAATTATAGAATACAAGATTAAAAATACCCAACTATTATCTCATTCAAGTGTTCCCAGAAGAAGAAGAAAAATTAAGGTTCAAGTGTGATAGGCAAACTAAACTAAGTGGAAAGACTTAATGTTCTTACATCATTCGCTACTTGTTTTCCAGTATGTTGGCTCTCGTCCAGAATAAAACCTCCAGAAGAAGTACCATAATTTAGATAGTAAACGACTTAAAACGTCAGTCTACAATGATGGATTTCTTTGAACTGGAAACAAGTCAGGATGCGACTCCCATGCTTTCTTTCTATAAGCCGCTTTAATCTAAATTCCAAATCAAAATTCATAAAAGAAGTTAATCAATTTACAAATTCATAAAGGAAAAGAGAAAAATTAAGGAAATTTGTTAGATTAGCTGATTGAAAGAAAGCAATCAAGGCCACAACCTCCAAAAGGAAAACATACTTGAGTTGGAGAGTAGAGAGTGGAGATTAGAGGTTTGAAACTTGAAAGATCGGCGCAGTATTGACTAATAAGAGGTTTGAAAGGAAAAATATTTATGCATAAACTTAACTTATCCCTAATATTTGGTTAAATAACAACTTATATCTTATACAATATTCAGATTTATAAATTAGTCTCTAAAATTACACCTAAATTCATAATGGTCCAAAATTTAATGGATATTTAGCTGGGTGGATGTGGGGAGGGCGGATGCGGGACAGGTAAGGTCTCAAACCCATTACCCACCCATTACCCGCGACGGGTACTACTTTCTAAATCCACACTCACCCACTACCCACTAAAATTATACCCATCCCCGCCCCAATTAGAACGGGTGCGGGCGAAATCCACGAATTTGTACCCGTTTGCCATCCCTACCTATAACTATAAAGACTCCTAAACAACTTAGAGTTTATACTAGACGAAATAGACCATTCCTGAGGCCATTTTGTAGTCTACTACTTGTCGAGAGTTGGATTTGAGTCCAACTACCTTAGAAGATGACGGTGGTAAGGAAACTTCTCTTGGTTTGTCGAAGATGGAATCTTTACCTATTGTAAAAAGAAAGGGTGTTAGACAATGCACTAAATGTCCTATTCAGAAGTATGTTGCTTATGTTAACTTAATGCCTTCATTTAGATCTTTTACATCATGTATTGATAAAGAGAAAATTCTGACAACCATTGAAGCTGCCTTGAAAGGCCCTAAGTAGAAGAGACTTGTTGAGGAGGAAATTCAAGCACTTGAGAAGAATGACACTTGGACCGTTACCGGTTTACCCCATGGCAAGAAAGCGGTTGGCAGTAAAGTGGGTTTTCGCAATTAAGTATAATTCTGATTATAGTATACAGAGATATAAAGTCAAACTTGTAGCTAAGGGTTTTACACAAACCTATGGCATTGACAACAAGGAGGCTTTTGCACCAGTAGCAAAATTGAATACTGCTAGAGTGCTCTTGAATTTTACGGTGAACAAAGATTGGAGTCTTCACCAACTTGTCATAAAGAACGTTTTTTTGAATGACAAGTTAGAATAAGAAGTCTACGTGAAGATGCCACCTGGAATGCAGTCTAAACTAGGAGATAATAAGGTTTGTAAACTTGAAAAATCATTGTATGATTTAAAGCAGTCTCTAAGGGTCTGGTTTAATAGGTTCACCAAGATCCTTATAGAGAATGGGTACAAGTAGTGTCAAGCAGACCACGCTTTGTTCATTAAGATTAATTCTAACAAGAAAAAAAGTTATTCTCATTGTCTATGTCGATAACATTGTAGTGACAGGAGATGATGAAAATGAAACTAATCAGTTGTTTTGAAACAAAGGACCTAGGGAAACTAAGGTATTTCAAAGGCATGGAGGTTGCTCGATCAAGTAAAGGTTTGGTTATAAACCAGAGGAAGTATGTGCTTGACTTACTCTCAGAAGCTGGTATGTAAACCTGTTGATACTCCTATGGAAGCTGGCTTAAAGCTTCGAGACGAAGAAATGGGGGTTGAAATCGATAAGAATTAATTTCATAGCTTGGTTGAAAATATCATTTACTGATCCCTAACCAGACTTGACAATCTATTTTCCTGTAAATGTGATCAGTCAATTTATGACTAATCCTAGAGAAAGACATCTAGAAACTGCTAATCAAATTCTAAGATACCTGAAAGGTACATTAGGACACTGGTTGTTCTTTAAGAAAACTAGTGATAGAATTGTAAAATATTTACAGATTCCAGTTGAGTCGGTGAGGTTACAGAAAGGTCGATTAGTGGATACTGCTTATTCACATGGGGCAACTTAGTTACTTAGAGAAGTAAGAAACAAAATGTAGTTTCTAGAAGCAGTGCTGAGGCAGAGTATAAAGCCTTAGCATTGGGAATCTGTGAAGGCATGTGGCTGCTATGACTACTAAAGGAGTTGGACATGAAGTATAAAGGAAACATAGAACTCTTCAGTGACAATCAATCAGCTATTCAAATTGCAAAAAATCCCGTCCATCACGATCGTACTAAGCATGTGGAAATCGATAGACACTTTATTGCAGAAAAGGTGAATGGTGGGATAGTAAACTTGACTTATTTCCCAACAGAGGAACAACTAGCAGATGTACTCACTAAAGCTCTATCCAAACAAATTTTCGAGAAGTTTTTGTCCAAGATGGGTTTATACAATGTTATGCTTCAGCTTGAGGGGGAGTGTAAGTTGTTACAATTGAAAATATTTGGGTTTATTTGTATTTAGTGATAGAGATAAAATCTCATCTTTTAATCAGAAGATAAGGTTTGTTTATTTTAAATAACTCCTAGTTGTAGTTAAACTCTTGTAACCTAAGTCTTAAAATAGACTCAGTAATTAATCATCTGATATATATATAATACTCACTATTCTCGTGAGTTTCCACATAATTTTTCTTTTGGAGGACATTATTCATACTTCACAAGAACTTAAAATTGGGTAGTTTCATGAGGGATATTTATGTTCCTTGATATTTACTTGTATCATTTTCTGATATATAGTTGTTCCATTATGTAAATAGGCTTCTGAAAAGGATAGTACGGTTTATGAAGCTCTGAGAGTTAGGAGGCAAGATATTCTTGATAACATCCGTGATAACGACGAGGCTGGTGTTAATTACCAAAAGGTAAACTTTGCTGCTATAGAGGCTTATATGATTACAATCTCTCTCTCTCTCTTTCTTTATTTTTCCTGTCATTTGATTAATCTTCTTATAGGAAATTGAAGCAAATGAAAAGCATCGTTGCCAACTCCAAGGTATGATTGAGGAAGCAATCAGTAACAATGGCAGTAAAACCTACTTGCGCATTCTCAGTCAATACAGACTGGTGCGTGGACATTGAATTTCTTTTTACTTTTTGTACCTATTTATTACCATGAACATCAAGTAATGATATCTATCTATAACTTCTCATTGCTACTTTATGCAGAATTCAATGCAGCACGACACCTGTAGATGGTGAAACAGCTTATTCCATACTCTCACAATTCTCTTTATGTTGTTATACAGAGGATGGCTAATACTGAGCTTCAGTTTAAAATGGCAATGAGAGATCAGATCATTCACAACCAAAGAGAGGCGCAAAGGAATCTTTGGAACTTGATCATGGGGTTGGGACTTGACGAGAAGCAGATATTGGAGCTTGCTGCCAAGTAGGGAATAACGATTGAAGATGAGACAATGGCACGTTATCCGGGGCTTTCAAACAGGGGGCAACCACCCAATTTGGCTTTGGGAGGATATGTTCCTTTCAGTTATGGTCTTTCCATCAACCAATGACATTCAAGATCATATTGCATTTGTTGAAAGCGTAGAAGGGCTCTCGGTAATTTATAACACTCAAACTTTTATTGATACGAAAGAAAATATTTTACAACGACACTCTCAATATTACAATACTAGCTTCTGCTAGTTCACAAACACTTATAGCTTTGCTAAGCTTTCTTACAAATTCTCTCTATTTTTTCTCACTCGTTACTCTCTTTTCCTCACTTTTTTTCTCTAATGTTATATGCTTGCTTTGCTCACATATATATATATATATGAAATAAACCGACATATTGAGAACTAGATTCTTCTCAATTTCTCTATTATTGCCACCTTATTGTTTGTCTTGTTTTGCTTCAAATTAAAAAATCTTGCCGACATATACTAGTGTGTTGAAACTTCTACATAATTCCAAAATGAGTTTGTCTTCTAATACTCCCCCTCAAACTCGATTTTCTATTCCAAGCTTTTCTTTGAGTCGGGTGAATATATCTGCTCTCAATGGTTTTGTGAAAATGCCTGCTATTTGATCTTCAGTGCTGCAGTAAATTAACTCCATATTTTTGTTCTTCACCTACTCTCGTATAAAGTGATATTTTGTATCAATATGCTTGCTTCGACTATGAGAGACTAGATTCTTGGCAAGAGAGATTGTAGACTTGTTGTCGACATAGATTGTAATTGGTTCTTCTTGTGCCACATTTAGCTCGTTCAAAATATTCTTTAACCACATTGCTTGGCAAGTGCACGCTGCTGTGACTATGTATTCTGCTTCATATGTTGAAAGAGCTACCGTTTGTTGCTTCTTTGATGACCATGAAAATGCTGTAGAGCCGATATGAAAGAGATATCCAGTTGTGCTTTTTCGATCATCTAAGTCTCCCCCATAATCACTATCAGAATAACCAACCAGCTTTGAATTTTTTGAATGCGTGTAGAATAAACCATGACCTGTTGTACCTTTGACATATCTGAGGATTCTTTTTGTTGCAATCCAATGATCTTGTTTCGGATTCTCCATGAATCTGCTTACCAATCCCACAGCGTATGTTATGTCTGGTCGTGTGATAATCAGATACCTTAGACTTCCAATGATGCTTTTAAACAACGTCGGATTCACTTTCTCTCTTGTTGAATTCACACTTAATTTGACTCCTGGTTCTGCTGGAGTGGTTACCGACTTGCAATCTTCCGTTCTAAATTTTCTTAAAATTTCTTCTGCATACTTCTTTTGTGATATAAATATTCCTTTTTGCATTTGTTTCACTTCAACTCCAAGAAAGTATGACATTTCTCCAATATCTGTCATTTCAAATTCTTTAGTCATAGCTTTCTTAAAATCATTGAACATACCTGGATTATTTCCTGTGAAAATCATGTCGTCCACATATAAGCACACGATCATGATATCACCGTCTTCATTTTTCTTTGTGCATAAGGCATGCTCGTATGGACTCTTCATGAACTCGTTTCTCTGGAAATATTCATCAATCCTCGTGTTCCATGCTCTCGAGGCTTGCTTCAGACCATATAGAGCTTTCTTTAATCGATAAACTTTATATTCATGTCCCTTTTTAATGTATCCAGGTGGTTGCTCAATATAAACTTCTTCTTCTAGGTAGCCATTTAGAAATGCTGACTTCACATCCATTTGATAAATTTTCCATCCTTTTTGTGCTGCAACTACTGTGAGAAGTCTGATGGTCTCGATCCTTACTATTGGAGCAAATACTTCATCATAATCTATTCCTTGTCTTTGCTTATAGCCTTTGACAACTAGCCTCGCTTTGTGCTTCTCGACCTTTCCTTCTTTATTGGTCTTTGTCTTGTAAACCCATTTTACTCCAATTTGGTTTTAGCCTTCTGGTTGTCTTGTTAGCTCCAATGTATCATTTCTTTCTATTGAAGCAATTTCTTCATCCATTGCATTTCTCCATTTGTCATCTTCAACCGCTTCTTCGTATGTTATTGGATCACTGTTCACAAGTAAGCAGAAAAGTGAAACATTATTTAGTTCATAATCGTTGTACCTTTATGGCATTCTTCTCTCTCTTGTGGATCTTCGAAGTTCTGTGGGAGGTGCTTCAGGATCTTCTATTATGTTGTTGGCATCGCTGCTGCTGCTTGAGGACGATGATACATTTTTTTGAGGACATTGATCATCAGCTTGTTCATCTTGATTGATAAGATCATCATCTTTAAAAAATAGTCCTTCAACTTTCTTTTCCTCTTTGCTCTATCTCCAATAGTCTGCTTCATCGAACTCGACATCTCTTGAAATTATTATCTTCTTTGTAAGAGGATTATATAATCTGTAAGCTTTTCTCCTTTCATCATAGCCAATGAAAATACATTTTTCTCTTCTGTCATCAAGCTTCTTTCTGGTCTGTTCAGGAACGTGGGAATATGCGATGCATCCAAAAATCTTGAGGTGTACAACTCCTGGTTTCTGTTCATTCCATGCTTCGTTTGGCGTCATATACTTCATGTTTTTTGTTGGACATCTGTTCAATAGGTAAACTGCACATCGAACTGCTTCAGCCCAGAAATTTCTCGGTAGTTGCTTACCTTTTATCATGCTTCTTGCCATGTCCAGATTATGCGGTTCTTTCTTTCTGCAACCCTATTTTTTTGTGGCGTGTATCTGGCTGTCAACTGATGGATGATGCCATGCTCTTTGCAGAATTCTTCAAATAACTTTGATATATATTCTCCTCCTCTATCTGATCTGAGTATCTTCAAATATTGACCACTTTATTTTTCCGCTATTGCTTTGAATTCTTTCAATTTTTCCAGCGCTTCTGACTTTTCTTTCAAAATGTAAATCCAACATTTCCTACTAAAATCATCAATAAAAGTTAGGTAGTACTTGTTACCGCCAAGCGATGGTATGTCAAAAGGACCGGCTATATCTGTGTGTACTATCTCCAACGGTCTTCGGGCACACTAGGATCTACCAACTTCAAAGCTTTGTTTATGTTGCTTTCCTTTGATGCAAGCCTCACATAATTGATTTGGAGGGTTGATCTCTGGTAGTCCTTTCACCATGCTCATTTTTTATAACAGCTTCAAACCAGAAAATCCAAGATGTCCATATCTTAGATGCCACAGCCATGAATCATCTTTGATTGCGATCTTCAGGCACTTGACTTCTCTCGACTCGATATCAATTGTAAAGAGACGATTTCGAGTCATATCAGCTTGGGCTTTCAATTCTCCTTCTTTATTTTTGATGGCAAGCGAGCGGTTTTTCATCTGCACTTCATATCCTTTTTCTAGGAGTTGACCAAGACTGATGATATTGCTTTTCAAAGCAGGTACATAATAAACATCTGAAATGTATTTCTTTTCTCCATTTCTCTGAGTAATCATGACTTCGCCTTTTCCTTTTATTTCTGCGTGCGAGTCATCTCTGAACGTTACTCGCCCATGAACTATTTCATCTAATTTCACAAACAGTTCCCTTTGACCACACATATGGTTGCTGGCACAATTATCAAGATACTAAATATTTTTCTTGAATTCCTCATTTCCTTTATAAGTGAGGAATACATGAGATTTTTCAATTTTTCCTTCTTCAGCTGCTGCTACGTTATTTCTTTCTTCTTGTTTAAGAGCAGATCTACACTCATAACTATAATGACCATACTTATTGCAATTATAACATTATACCTAGGATTTATTTTCTTGTTGATATCTGCCCCTACCTCTGCCTCGGAATCCTCGTCCACGATCTGATGTTGGATTGTTTCCACTTATTTGATTGGTGCCATATCGACCACCACATCCACGAGTTCCTCGTCCTCCTCTGTATCTTCCATGATAACCACCACGATTTCCCCGACCTCGTGTGTAGCTGCTGCTAGCTTCTCCTTCGTTGACATTCATCTTGCTTTGTAGAGCTTGCTCCAAATTTTCTAAATCTTCACTTTATTTTATTTTCTGCTCATGGGCTTGAAGTGAACCCACAATCTCATCAATCGAAATTTGGGATAAATCTTTCGATTCTTCGATTGCCACCACCACGTAATCGAATTTTCTTGTCAATGACCGCAAAATTTTTTCCATCACTCTAACATCGTCGAGTGATTCACCATTTCATTTCATTTCATTTACGACTTCTTTCACACGGCTAATATAATCATCGATGTTTTCTGTATTTTTCATTTTTAACATCTCAAACTCAACTCGGATAGTTTGTAAGCGTGCCTTTTTTGCTTTTTCGGCACCTTGTAGAGATTTTTGCGAAATCTCTCATGCTTGTTTTGCGGTCTTCGCATCAGAAATTTTTTCAAAGGCAGATTCGTCTACTCCTTGAAAAATAAAGAACAATGCTCTTTTATCTTTTCTCCGGGATTCCTTCAATACTTTTTTTTCTTCATTGGCCAGGGCTGCTTCTGTTGCTGCATTTTCAGGCTCGGTTTAACCATCCTCGATGATATCCCAACAATCTTGGGAGCCTAGTAACGCCTTCATTTGAATGCTCTAATTGCCGTAATTCATCTTTGTCAATCTCGGGATTTGTGGTTGAATCATGTTGGCCATCTTCTCTACAACGTTGAACTCGAACCAAACTCTGAGACCACTTGTTGGAAGCGTAGATGGGCTCTCGGTAATTTATAACACTCAAACTTTTATTGATACAAAAGAAAATATTTTACAACGACACTCTCAATATTACAATACTAACTTCTGTTAGTTCACAAACACTTATAGCTTTGCTAAGCTTTCTTACAAATTCCCTCTATTTTTTCTCATCACTTTTTTTCTCTTATGTTATATGCTTGCTTTGCTAATATATATATATCAAATAAACCGACATATTGAGAACTAGATTCTTCTCAATTTCTCTATTATTGCCACCTTATTGTTTGTCTTGTTTTGCTTCAAATTAAAAAATCTTACCGACATATACTAGTGTGTTGAAACTTCTACATAATTCCAAAATGAGTTTGCCTTCTAACAGCATTTACCAGAACTCCAGAAGTATCAACATGTTGCTTCAAAGTCAATTTCCCGAGACCGCTGGGATCTGTCTTCTACGTTTTGCAGGGAGGAGCACTGTAGCTCCTACTACTTGCTAGCTCATGATAACTCTCCGCCATGCATCAGATCTAGGAATAGTAGTAATTACTGGGTTGGCGGTGGTCATCCTGTTCCTTGGTTTGGCACTCCTGATAAGCTTCCTCGAGATTTGCAGAAATCGTACCCAGAGATGATAACTCCTGCATCATCACGCTATGAAAGCCATCTATCAGCTCCAGCACACGGTGCAGATTTTGGACAGGGACAAAATGTAGGCTTCAGTCATTGCTGCTCTTCTATTTTGCAAGCATTACGCTCTCTTCAATTATATTTTGTTGTACTTCTCGGTATAAAATTTTATACTAATAGATCGATCTTTTATCCGTATAGCTTATTGTCTTTAACACAGGATACCAAGAGGCGAAACCTATACAGCAAGGGTCCTCATGGTGCAACCAGTAGCAGCAGCCCAGATATGTTCGAAGCAGAGATAGTCAATCTTGGTAGGACAGCCAATGGTTTTCCGGGATATATCCGATCCGAACAAGGCTTGAGTACACGCAGCTCAACACATACGGTCCAAAACTCGAACCATCCAAGTGTTCCTTGCATTCCTTCATAAACTTAAGCCCATCCCTCCATTCCTGTAAAGCTTTCTTTGTCTTTCTTTCCATTTTTTGTTTTCTTTTTCCCCATTGTTGATGTATATGTAAATGAATTAGGATGAATTGATAGCTGAATTCTTTGTGGAGAGAAGACCAAGCTGCGGAATGTAGTTAGTTCTGTATCATAGTAAAACACACATACTTTCAAATTGTTTAGTCAAATCCATGTTTATGTTAATATTCTATGGAATTTGGGTTGTTTTACCTACTTGTTTAAGTCCCCTACTTTTCCTTTTAGACTTCTACTTTTTCGATTTTAATATTTTAACCCCAATTTTTAACGACTTTAAATTTTGACTTAATGAAAGTGTTTACACTACATATTATTTGTTCACTTCACGCGTGTAAAATATTCTTATTTGACACGTGTTGCGTTTATAAACTTAAAAAAAATTCATAATAAAAAATAAGAGTTGCAATATAAACAAAGAAAAAAAGTCTAGAAACTATCATCATATCGTAAACAAGAAACATTTGGATAAACCCTTCCATTTCTAAGGCCATGAGCATTGTGGCAATACGACAGCGTGTTGTCGTTTTGGTCTTCATTCTTGAGATTAATGTTCTTCATGGTGATGTTTTTGCATGGAGTGGACTCACTGCATGAAAGTTGCACTGCTATTTCTTTGTGTGATGTTCCATGGATTTCTTCATAGCTTACATTGCTGATCTCCACACCCGATGTCTGCAAAAACATGTATACAAATTAAAATTAACATTGTTTCAACATATATGGATGAATATAATAATTTCTTTCAAATCAAATCACTTACTTGGTTCTTGCACTGTTTATGAGGACAATAAAATTGATCGATAACAATAGGTCGAGCAGAAGCATAAGAAGTTATGCGTTCAAACTTAACGTTTCGTGCATATCCGTGGCCTCCCTAGACACACAATAATGTCGATTGTTAGCCAAAAAATCGTTAGTTTCAAAACACATATGCTTTTAAAGTAATTATACGTACCTATCACGTCTTTATTCGGACTCCATTAGTTGTTCCATAAAAAGAAACATTTATTACGTGAACAAATTCAACATTCATGTCCGATAATTCCAAGGCTGCCAATGCTTCATATAACGGAAAAAATAAAATTAGTATGGATGTTTAATCTCATAAAATAAGAGGAAATATCATTTTAAAAGAATAAATAACAAGTAAAACGTGTACCTGACTCCATGACCTGGACCACATTCGATGTTTCTAATATTAATGTGTTTTTAGTATCAGGTCCAATCGATATACAATCATCACCTGATTAAATTAAGAATCGGTCAATATCGAAGCAAATACATGTACAAATGAAACAAAACAAACAAGAAAACTAACAAACCGGTTTGAATAATTGTCTTGTCTATGGTAACGTTGGTGGAACGTTGGATATGAATGCCATCAGTGTTGGGACTGTTTCCTGGAGCTTTGATTGTAAGATCAGTGGCGTGAATGGAAATCGAGTTCTCAAATGCAATGTGCATTTTTGGACTGTCTTCAAAGGTTAAGCCTTTAATCTCTACGTTCTTGGAGTTTGCTATCATAAAACCCTAAAATCAAAACCCACAGAGTCGGTTAGAGCTAGGGTTAGTGTTAAAGATTTTTGTGTCACATGATATTCAAACACTTACGGTTGGTTTCCGAAAGTGACAGCCCTTGTTCTTGTCTTTGCAAGAAAGCTTCCACCATTTAGATCCATGTCCATTGATTGTACCAGACCCTTGAATGAAGAGACCATCAAAATTTTTGAATCCAATCCAATGGTGACAGTTTCTTTTGCGTTCCCATGCAGAGGGTTCGCTTGGGGCTATAATGTTCCCATCAATCTGCACCACAATTCAAAAGGAAAGTCCTTGCGTTAACAAAACAAAAGTAATCAAAATATCCATAGCTAGGAGAAAGATAGTATTAATTGCCTGGAATGTAAAGTTGTTTGAGTTGCATTCGCCATCCAAAGTTAAGGGTTGAAGCAGAAAGGTCTTCCCTTGAGGCACAACAACCATTGGTGACGAAGCTGAGGAACCGCAAGCAGCATTCCAAGCATCCTTAAAGCCCTGAAAACTGTACATCAAATTAGAATGGTACTAACAATACGACACCAAATCCTTGACGTCAAAACCAAATTATCAGGCAGAGAAGAAAACCTTGGAATCATCTTCGACTCCATCTCCAACAGCTCCGAAGCTAATCACATTAAATGTATTGCCATCCGTTTTCTTCTTCTTCTTCTCCAACATACGAGAAGATTCGCTCAGTGTAGCGCATTGAATCAAAACAACTATCGCCAGGATTTTCTTCACACTTGCCATAGCCTTGAATTTTCTTTTTAGTTTCAGACGTGAATATACAATATACTTGCGCAGAGAGATAGAATCAGACCTTTTCCTACTATAACTATATCTTCTTTTTTAAAAAAAAAATTAATAATTAAAAGTGAAGTCAGTAGGTGTGGCCGATGAAGCCCGTAGTGCTTCATGAATTGTGTGTTTGCGTATCGATTATTTCAAATAAAAATCAGCATTTCACTTCGTGATTTTGGAAGAGTTTGCATGAAATTGTAGTTTACTACAACCTATCATGTACTGCTGATAATTTGCCTATTGAATTTTCTCCAAATCCTTCATGTTGCCGCAGCACTCAATTACGACCAACTTCAACTATCCTCTTCAATTTTCCCCCTCTGGGGAATCATCAAGCCTCATTTCGATGAAGATTTGAGAAAGGGGAGAACACAATCTTTCTAACGCAGAGCAGAAGCATGAGGGCATTCAACGCAGTTATGTATGACTATATTCGATTAGAAGGGCCGACAGCTTAATTAATTTTATCAGTAATGTATACATACAACATAGGAATTTAGATCATTTCTTTTTGTTTATGATCATAGCTAGATAACATATTTGAAGAAAATATTGTTTTTTTTTTCCGTTTAGATTCATTTATATATAGTAACGAGCGTTTCTCCAAAATTTTAAAAGCCTAATCTCATCTCATACGACTGAGTAAAGAGCAACCCTCCCCTGATGTAGGCCAAATTGCATTTCCATTTTCCCTCTGAACGATCTGCTGTGGATCAGGGATTTAAATAGTAATTTGTTATCGGAATAATGTTTGTTATATAGCGGTAAAGATGTCTGAAATCATTATTGTGCAATTGTGATACATAGAATGACCACAATAGCACTCACTAGTGTCGTTATCACATCTGTTATTGCTACAATCACAATAAACATAATGCGACCGGAAATACGATCGCAACTGCAAAAGATCGGGAATAGGGATGGACATAAGCGGGGTGCGTGGGGTTTGTCGTCCCCCCAAATTTAAATGTAATTTTTGTCTCTTGAAATCTTATAAGTTCAAGTTCGTCCCCCTTAAAATTTTATAAGTTAAACTTCGTCTCCTAACTTAAAGTCCTTAGTACGTCCCTGGTCGGTAACCTACAAATATTTTTGGTAGGGAACCCTAGTTAGTGCTTCACTTTGCTTACTTTCCTTTCCGTATGGCTGTCCCTTGTTCCCATATATAATGGGGTAAGGGGGAGGTAAGATAGTAGGCTGCCCCCAATACTATGTTGAGAGCAACTTCCGTAGGAGACCTCCAAATTATGAAATGCCCTCCATGGGACTCGATCCCACAACCTCAAGATTAAGAACCTTGTGCTCTACCAACACTAGTTAGTGCTTACTTTCCTTTCCGTATGTGGAGTGCAAAAGTTGTATGTGTTGTATGGGGTGCCATACATGCATATATACTTGGTTTAGTGGATAAACATTGAATTACTTTTAAAGATAAGTAAAACTCGACTTAATCGAAAAATCAATTTTTTTTAATTTCGAGTTATTTGAGCTATTCATGTTATTCGAGTCAACTCGAATTATCAATTCATGTTTCGAGTTCGAATCGAGTTGAAATTTAGAAATTTCGAGTTATTTGAAAAACCAAAATTTTGAGTAAGTGTTTTGATAGTTTTGTGATTTAGTCCCTGAATTTATTATTCTTTCAATTTCTCCTTCATTTTAAGTCTATTTTTTTTACCAAATTTAAATCACATGCTCTTAAACAATCGTAGAATACATATGTACTTTCAATTTATCTTTTTGATAATAATTTTTTATTTTTCAATTTAGTCCCTCAATTTTTTATAATTTCCTTTTTTCTTCAATACATCATTTATTTTAAGTCTATTTTTTTTACCAAATTTGAACCACATGTTTATATACCGCAGTAGAATACCTATGTAACTTAAATTCTTATTTTATTTTTTTTGCTAAAAATGTGCTCTCTTTTTTTAGTCCCTTAACTTTGTATTTTACTCAATTTAGTCTTTTGACTAAAATTGTTTGCAAATTCTTTATTCTCATCAATTCATTGATTCCTTTATACTCTCATCAATATTTTACCCTCAAAATAATTTCTTTAAAATATAATATTATGAATATATTTCATAATTTTAGATTGTATTTGATATATTAAATAACATTATAATTTGAAAATAATATTAAATATATTTATATATCTTATATGGTTAGAGAAAGTCAAAAAATTGGAACAAATCTTTGTCATAATATTATAAATAATTATAATAAAATTAGCATAGAAACTCGAATAACTCGACTCGACTAGAAAAAAATTTCAAGTTAAATTCGAGTTGTAAAATACGACTCGTCAACTTCAATAACTCGAAATTTTTAACTTGACTAGACTCGACTCGATCGAATGCTCACCCCTAATTACTTTCATAAAGATCTCAAGTTTATTCATCCATAGTCATATTTTTGACATAATTTTAAAGTGGTGATATAGTTCAACGCTCGTACACTCATAAATATACGGTGCTCGAACTCAGGGCCTCAATGAATGACAATAATTCTTTAATTAGTTAGGTGATATAATTTAACTTAAATATTAATTTTGCAGAAATCGTACCCAGAGATGATAACTCCTGTATCATCACGCTATGAAAGCCATCTATCAGCTCCAGCACACGGTGCAGATTTTGGACAGGGACAAAATGTAGGCTTCAGTCATTGCTGCTCTTCTATTTTGCAAGCATTACGCTCTCTTCAATTATATTTTGTTGTACTTCTCGGTATAAAATTTTATACTTACAGACCGATCTTTTATCCGTATAGCTTATTGTCTTTAACACAGGATACCAAGAGGCGAAACCTATACAGCAAGGGTCCTCATGGTGCAACCAGTAGCAGCAGCCCAGATATGTTCGAAGCAGTGATAGTCAATCTTGGTAGGACAGCCAATGGTTTTCCGGGATTTATCCGATCCGAACAAGGCTTGAGTACACGCAGCTCAACACATACGGTCCAAAACTCGAACCATCCAAGTGTTCCTTGCATTCCTTCATAAACTTAAGCCCATCCCTCCACTCCTGTAAAGCTTTCTTTGTCTTTCTTTCCATTTTTTTGTTTTCTTTTCTCCCCATTGTTGATGTATGTAAATGAATTAGGATGAATTGATAGCTGAATTCTTTGTGGAGAGAAGAGGGTTTATAAACCCAAGCTGCGGAATGTAGTTAGTTCTGTATCATAGTAAAACACACATACTTTCAAATTGTTTAGTCAAATCCATGTTTATGTTAATATTCTATGGAATTTGGGTTGTTTTACCTACTTGTTTAAGTCCCCTACTTTTCCTTTTAGACTTCTACTTTTTCGATTTTAATATTTTAACCCCAATTTTTAACGACTTTAATTTTTGACTTAATGAAAGTGTTTACACTACATATTATTTGTTCACTTCACGCGTGTAAAATATTCTTATTTGACACGTGTTGCGTTTATAAACTTAAAAAAAAATCATAATAAAAAATAAGAGTTACAATATAAACAAAGAAAAAAAGTCCAGAAACTATCATCATATCGTAAACAAGAAACATTTGGATAAACCCTTCCATTTCTAAGGCCATGAGCATTGTGGCAATACGACAGCGTGTTGTCGTTTTGGTCTTCATTCTTGAGATTAATGTTCTTCGTGGTGATGTTTTTGCATGGAGTGGACTCACTGCATGAAAGTTGCACTGCTATTTCTTTGTGTGATGTTCCATGGATTTCTTCATAGCTTACATTGCTGATCTCCACACCCGATGTCTGCAAAAACATGTATACAAATTAAAATTAACATTGTTTCAACATATATGGATGAATATAATAATTTCTTTCAAATCAAATCACTTACTTGGTTCTTGCACTGTTTATGAGGAAAATAAAATTGATCGATAACAATAGGTCGAGCAGAAGCATAAGAAGTTATGCGTTCAAACTTAACGTTTCGTGCATATCCGTGGCCTCCCTAGACACACAATAATGTCGATTGTTAGCCAAAAAATTGTTAGTTTCAAAACACATATGCTTTTAAAGTAATTATACGTATATGTCACGTCTTTATTCGGACTCCATTAGTTGTTCCATAAAAAGAAACATTTATTATGTGAACAAATTCAACATTCTCGGTATGTCCGATAATTCCAAGGCTGCCAATGCTTCATATAACGGAAAAAATAAAATTAGTATGGAGGTTTAATCTCATAAAAGAAGAGGAAATATCATTTTAAAAGAATAAATAACAAGTAAAACGTGTACTTGACTCCATGACCTGGACCACATTCGATGTTTCTAATATTAATGTGTTTTTAGTACCAGGTCGAATCGATATACAATCATCACCTGATTAAATTAAGAATCGGTCAATATCGATGCAAACACATGTACAAATGAAACAAAACAAACAAGAAAACTAGCAAACCGGTTTGAATAATTGTCTTGTCCATGGTAACGTTGGTGGAACGTTGGATATGAATGCCATCAGTGTTGGGACTGTTTCCTGGAGCTTTGATTGTAAGATCAGTGGCGTGAATGCAAATCGAGTTCTCAAATGCAATGTGCATTTTTGGACTGTCTTCAAAGGTTAAGCCTTTAATCTCTACGTTCTTGGAGTTTGCTATCATAAAACCCTAAAATCAAAACCCACAGAGTCGGTTAGAGCTAGGGTTAGTGTTAAAGATTTTTGTGTCACATGATATTCAAACACGTACGGTTGGTTTCCGAAAGTGACAGCCCTTGTTCTTGTCTTTGCAAGAAAGCTTCCACCATTTAGATCCATGTCCATTGATTGTACCAGACCCTTGAATGAAGAGACCATCAAAATTTTTGAATCCAATCCAATGGTGACAGTTTCTTTTGCGTTCCCATGCAGAGGGTTCGCTTGGGGCTATAATGTTCCCATCAATCTGCACCACAATTCAAAAGGAAAGTCCTTGCGTTAACAAAACAAAAGTAATCAAAATATCCATAGCTAGGAGAAAGATAGTATTAATTGCCTGGAATGTAGAGTTGTTTGAGTTGCATTCGCCATCCAAAGTTAAGGGTTGAAGCAGAAAGGTCTTCCCTTGAGGCACAACAACCATTGGTGACGAAGCTGAGGAACCGCAAGCAGCATTCCAAGCATCCTTAAAGCCCTGAAAACTGTACATCAAATTAGAATGGTACTAACAATACGACACCAAATCCTTGACGTCAAAACCAAATTATCAGGCAGAGAAGAAAACCTTGGAATCATCTTCGACTCCATCTCCAACAGCTCCGAAGCTAATCACATTAAATGTATTGCCATCCGTTTTCTTCTTCTTCTTCTCCAACATACGAGAAGATTCGCTCAGTGTAGCGCATTGAATCAAAACAACTATCGCCAGGATTTTCTTCAAACTTGCCATAGCCTTGAATTTTCTTTTTAGTTTCAGACATGAATATACAATATACTTGCGCAGAGAGATAGAATCAGACCTTTTCCTACTATAACTATATCTTTTTTTTTTAAAAAATTAATAATTAAAAGTGAAGTCAGTAGGTGTGGCCGATGAAGCCCGTAGTGCTTCATGAATTGTGTGTTTGCGTATCGATTATTTCAAATAAAAATCAGCATTTCACTTGGTGATTTTGGAAGAGTTTGCATGAAATTTTAGTTTACTACAACCTATCATGTACTGCTGATAATTTGCCTAATGAATTTCCTCCAAATCCTTCATGTTGCCGCAGCACTCAATTACGACCAACTTCAACTATCCTCTTCAATTTTCCCCCTCTGGGGAATCATCAAGCCTCATTTCGATGAAGATTATTATTCGATGAAGATTTGAGAAAGGGGAGAACACAATCTTTCTAACGCAGAGCAGAAGCATGAGGGCATTCAACGCAGTTATGTATGACTATATTCGATTAGAAGGGCCGACAGCTTAATTAATTTTATCAGTAATGTATACATACAACATAGGAATTTAGATCATTTCTTTTTGTTTATGATCATTGCTAGATAACATATTTTGAAGAAAATATTGTTTTTTTTTTCTCCGTTTAGATTCATTTATATATAGTAACGAGCGTTTCTCCAAAATTTTAAAAGCCTAATCTCATCTCATACGACTGAGTAAAGAGCAACCCTCCCCTGATGTAGGCCAAATTGCATTTCCATTTTCCCTCTGAACGATCTGCTGTGGATCAGGGATTTAAATAGTAATTTGTTATCGGAATAATGTTTGTTATATAGCGGTAAAGATGTCTGAAATCATTATTGTGCAATTGTGATACATAGAATGACCACAATAGCACTCACTATTGTCGTTATCACATCCGTTATTGCTACAATCACAATAAACGTAATGCGACCGGAAATACGATCGCAACTGCAATTCTTGATGCAAATCTTTTAGGTCAGGAACAAGGATGGACATAAGCGGGGTGCGTGGGGTTTGTCGCCCCCCTTGAAATTTTATAAGTTAAACTTCGTCCCCTAACTTAAAATCCTTAGTACGTCCCTGGTCGGTAACCTGCAAATATTTTTGGTAGGGAACCCTAGTTAGTGCTTCACTTTGCTTACTTTCCTTTCCGTATGTGGAGTGCAAAAGTTGTATGTGTTGTATGGGGTGCCATACATGCATATATACTTGGTTTAGTGGATAAACATTGAATTACTTTTAAAGATAAGTAAAACTCGACTTAATCGAAAAATCATTTTTTTTTAATTTCGAGTTATTTGAGCTATTCATGTTATTCGAGTCAACTCGAATTATCAATTCATGTTTCGAGTTCGAATCGAGTTGAAATTTAGAAATTTCGAGTTATTTGAAAAACCAAAATTTTGAGTAAGTGTTTTGATAGTTTTGCGATTTAGTCCCTGAATTTATTATTCTTTCAATTTCTCCTTCATTTTAAGTCCATTTTTTTTACCAAATTTAAATCACATGCTCTTAAACAATTGTAGAATACATATGTACTTTCAATTTATCTTTTTGATAATAATTTTTTTATTTTTCAATTTAATCCCTCAATTTTTCATAATTTCCTTATTTCTTCAATACATTATTTATTTTAAGTCATTTTTTTTACCAAATTTGAACCACATGTTTATATACCGCAGTAGAATACCTATGTAACTTAAATTCTTATTTTCGTTTTTTGCTAAAAATGTGCTCTCTTTTTTAGTCCCTTAACTTTGTACTTTACTCAATTTGGTCTTTTGACTAAAATTGTTTGCAAATTCTTTATTCTCATCAATTCATTGATTCCTTTATACTCTCATCAATATTTTACCCTCAAAATAATTTCTTTAAAATATAATATTATGAATATATTTCATAATTTTAGATTGTATTTGATATATTAAATAACATTATAATTTGAAAATAATATTAAATATATTTATATATCTTATATGGTTAGAGAAAGTCAAAAAATTGGAACAAATCTTTGTCATAATATTATAAATAATTATAATAAAATTAGCATAGAAACTCGAATAACTCGACTCGACTAGAAAAAAATTTCAAGTTAAATTCGAGTTGTAAAATACGACTCGTCAACTTCAATAACTCGAAATTTTTAACTTGACTAGACTCGACTCGATCGAATGCTCACCCCTAATTACTTTCATAAAGATCTCAAGTTTAATCATCCATAGTCATTTTTTTGACATAATTTTAAAGTGGTGATATAGTTCAACGCTCGTACACTCATAAATATACGGTGCTCGAACTCAGTGCCTCAATGAATGACAATAATTCTTTAATTAGTTAGGTGATATAATTTAACTTAAATATTAATTTTGATGAAAAAGAAACACGACATGAATCCGAGTTGGAGTGTAGGCTTCTAGATGGGCAGGAAAGTAAGGGCAAGCCTTCAATTGATCCAAATGAGCCTGCAACATAAGTAAATGGTGAGCTCAAATCCAAGGGTTTTTTCGGCCCACTAAGTTATGTGGGTAAAAAAAATTAATTTATTGGATCATCTCCAAAATTATTTTGGGATCTACGGTAAATGCTTTAGATTATGTCAGTTTCTTAGATCTTTTAATTTCATGTTAAATGATTAAATTGAAGCTTTAATTGTAATTTATGAGACAAATAAGATATTAACCTTTTTTTATTAATGCATCTCGTAATTAACGTGAGTTAACGATAGAATAATCATTTTATGCTTTTCATTTTAATAACTTTAGTGACTAAAATAAAAAAAATTATTCAATTTTAGTGATAAGAGAATAGTTAACCTAACATATTTTTAAAAGTTATAATATCAAAAACAAATCTCTAACATTTAAATAAATAGTCATTTTCGCTTTTATTGTTTTTAGAGCATTTTAGCCCTCAATATATCATTTTGGAGCAAAAAGATCCGTTTGTGAATTGAAATAATTAGTCAAAAACGATTAACAGTTCAAAATAAGAACTTTTTATCCTAAAATAAAACATTTGGGGTCAAAATGCTCTTAAAAAAAGAATAAATATGTGCCAAAATGATAATTTTTTTAATAATCTCTGATTATTACAAGATATATATGTTTAGAACTTTATTAATCAATTAATAACTAAGAACAAAGCTAAGTTGGGGCCATTGCCCTATTTTTTTATAATTTAAAAATATATAGGTAAATATCAAATTAGACCTAATTTTAGTTTATTTTTATTTTGTCTCCTTCATGGTTAATTATACTTTACACCCCTCATTGTTAACTGTTAATTATATTTTTGCCTTCTTGAGCTGGTATCCTGACTCCGTCTTTATTAATAACACACATTATACAGACACAACTACTCATACCCATGACATTTAGGTAGCATCATTTAATCAAATATTAAAGATATTTTTACCCTAAAATAAAATATTATAGATCAAAATACTTTTTTTGGATAAATCAATTCAGTTTTATATCCAAAAGAGCAGTAAACTGCTTTAAAACACAGAAAGTTCTTACATACAATATCAATACTTACAACACTATACAACAGAACAGAAAACATCAATGTTCAATACCCCATTGATTACAAAGAGTATTATTGACATAGTCATTTCTATTTATTTCTCTACCCTTAAGTTGAATAGCAACAGAGTCTTTAATAGCAAGGAGTAAGGCATTAACATTTCTTGAGCGTCATTGATAAATTCTCTTGTTTCTCTCCTCCCAAATAATGTAAGTAAAAGTAGTCCAAGCTAGCTTCATAATAGTAGTGAGCAGCGATTTTCCTTTCCATGAAGCACAAGCCCATGAAATGTGAGCATTCCATGAACAAGTTCCTCTGCAAATGCCATTAAGATGCAGAACAGAGTTCCAAACAGAATTTGCCACAGAACAATGTAGAAACAAGTGGTCCCTAGTTTCCATCTCTTCATTACAAAGCACACAAATACCGTCAATGTTTAACCCCATTCGAATCAGCCTATTTTTGGTTGGTAATCTGTCAAGGAAAGCCATCCAAGTAATAATACTATACTTAGGGACATGAAGAGGAAACTAGAATAGTTTATGCCAAGTAACCTTGTCGTCTTTGTTACGGATGTGATGCCATATGTCTTTGATTGATTGAGTTCCAGAAGCAAAAATGGGGGCAGCCTGATTCCTCATACTTAGCAGTTTACGAAAGCTCCAGCTTGTATTGATCCTAGCCTCCATAGTCCAAAAATCAGAGTTCTTGATAACATAAGTTTTGATCCAAGCGATCCATAGCGAACCACCACCCACAAGAATTTTCTTGATCAAGTGCAGTATACAAGTTTTATTCCAAGATTTTATGTCTTTTAGACCAAGACCCCCTTCAAATTTTGGGAGGCAAAGCTTATCCCATTTAACTCTTGCACCTTTAGCAGCAATATCATAACCTTTCCAGAAAAACCTTGAACATAAATGCTCAATCCGATTAAGCACATATTGTGGAAGGATTAGCTGCCTACACCAGAAATTAGTGATACTATGAAGAACAATTTTAATGAGCTCGAGTCTTCCAGCGTAACTCAAATGTCTTCTGGACCATTTATGGAGACGGTCTCTAATATTGTCAATTAGAGCTATACAGTCTTTCTCCTAAAGTTTTCTAGATACAAGTGGAACACCCAAGTATCTAACAGGTAAGCAACCATGATTAAAACCCGTAATCTGTTTGATTTCTCTTATTTTCATAGGTGAAATTCCAGCAGTGAAGAATTATCATTTATGAGCATTAAGTTTAAGGCCTGAAATTTCATAGAAGTGGTCAAGAACACTAATTACCCCCACAACAGATTCTATATTCCCTCGACAGAAAATAAGCAAGTCATCTGCAAAGGTGAGATGAGTTAACATAATCTTTTTACATTTAGGGTGGAAGCCAAAAATACCTCTAGTAGCAGCTTTGTTGAGAATACTAGAAAGGATATTTATTGATAGTATGAAAAGTAAAGGTGAGATGGGGTCCCCTTGTCTTAATCCTCTAGCACCTTTAAAGAAACCAATTAGACTACCATTAAAAGATATATAGTACCGAGCAGTAGTGAAACAAGCCTCAACCCATTTAATATAATTGGCAGGTAGTCCAATAGCAATGAGAACAGTAGAAATAAAATACCAATGTAAAGAGTCGAATGCTTTGTGGAGATCAATTTTCATTGAACATCTGGGGGATAAAGTCTTCCTTCCATAACCTTTGACAAGCTCCTGAGCTAGAAGAGTGTTATCTACTATGTTTCTCCCTTTAACAAAAGTCGTTTGGTTAAACGAAATAATTCCAGGGAGCAGAGGTGTCAATCGATTGACCAAGATTTTAGAAACAACTTTATAGACCATCGAACAACAAGAAATAGGCCGAAAATCTTTCACCTGGCTAGGATTTGGAATTTTAGGTACCAAAGTAATACAAGTGGCATTAAAAGCATAAGGTTGAGTGTAGGATTTCTAAAGAAGTGAGTAACAGCTGCCACCACGTCATCACCAATAATAGGCCAAGCTTTCTTGAAAAAATATGGAGTGTAACCATCCGGACCTGGAGCTTTATCGTTGCCTTGAGAAAAAAAATGCATCTTTAATCTCATTCGAGTAACTTCCTTAACAAGATCATTAGAGCTTTCCAAAGGCAAAGAGCTAGGAAGCAGCTCCTTTAAAGTGTTCGGGTCACAAGATTTAACCTCAAAATTAGTCCCAATCAGGTTGGTAAAGAAACGTAAGACTTCTGCAGCCATATCCTCATAAGTTTCTAATCTTCTTCCTTGGTCATCAATAAGCACACGTATAGTATCCCTCTTGGTTTTAGTAGCAACTACAGAGTGGAAGAATTTAGTACATTTATCACCATGATTAATCCACTGTACCTTCGCTTTCTGTCTTAAAAACATGTTATCGGCTTCTTGAAGAAAGTGGAGCTCGTTTTGCAATTGGGATTCTTTTTGGAAAGAATCTGCAAGATTTAAAGATTTGATCTGTTGTTCCTCGAGCTCCAGTTTCTTTTGGTTGACTCGATCAGAAATTTGCTATAATGATGCTAGTTTAGGGCTTTCAAACTGATTTTTAGGCGTTTAAGCTTGGAGAACAGCTGTTGCATAGGGTTGCCCCGGGAAAAAGAGTGCCAAGAATGGCTAACTATGCTTAGGAATTCAGAGTGATGGGCCCAAAAGTTAAAAAATTTGAAAGGCTTAGGATGGTCAGCATGAACCTCTTTAGAAAGCCAAGCAATTGCCAAACAGTGGTCAGAAATTCCAGGAGCAAGGAATTCCACATGTGACTTGGGAAAAGCAATAAACCAAATAGGATTAACTAAGATTCTATCAAGTTTTTTTGTTAGATATGATTCGTGTTGTTTGTTGCTCCAGGTGAAAGTAGGGCCAAAATAAGGGTGGTCAAGCAATTCCAAGTCAAACAAAGTATCCTGGAATTCCTTCATGTCTGGAGTAAGAAAAGGGCCCAACGGAGCAGAATTTGAACTTTCTTTCGAATTAAGAATAACATTAAAATCACCTCCCAGTATCCAAGGAAAATTGCCATACTGGTTGTTCACTTCATGTAGTTGCTGCCAAAGTTGTCTTCTCAAAACACCTTCATTTCTGCCATAAATAGCTGTGGTAATCAGAGGATTACTAAGATAATAACCTTTAATGGTTATACACTGATCATACATATGTATAATCGAGAAATCAATGCCCTTCTTCCAGAGGATCAAAATTCTGCCATTCTCAGCAAAGTTGTGATTAATACAAAAATTCCATTGCTCAAACTTAGAATTCTTTCTCAATGAATGTGGGATTTTGGAATAATACAAAAATTCCATTGCTCAAACTTAGAATTCTTTCTCAATGAATGTGGGATTTTGGAATATAAGAGGACTCAACAGTCCTCTTAAACAAAATGGTGTTCTAAAGAGATCTCGTCTTATGAATGTTGATGTTCTTTGCCTCTTAGAAACCAGAGTTAAAACTAATAACAATTCATTTATCATCGAAGTTATCAAATACTCTTCCAAAAAGTGTACCAGTCATTGTCATAAATTCAATTAACTAAACTCGCACAAGTTTTAATATACGGCGTGAAACAGCAGATATCAGAGGAAACTATACAAAATTAGAACAGTAACAGCGGCGACTACTAAAACAATAAAGAGTTGGTGCTGAGAATACTTTGTTTATATAAAGACAGCTTATAAAACTATGGCTCGTGCTCGTTTCTGAAAGGCCATTAAAGCTCCAAAACATTTCTCAAGCTCTCTTCCCCATTTCTGGGACTCTTCCCTTGAATGCTCTCAAACCATTAAACTGTTTTGCAGCTCCAGAATATTTGATGGAGAAGGTGGCGAACCGGGTCCGTTTGGGACTGATTGTATCTTTGCTCTTTGTGTGTGCATTTCGTTCTGAAATTTCGACCAGGTTCTTGCTTTCTTCTTGCTGCATGTTTTCCTACACAGATAGACATGGGAATAGAAAGAGAGTGTGTTGCATTTTGTCCTCTAGCAACCTAATTCCTTGTCTTTGGTCCGGGAAGGACCAGTTGCGGTCGCACTACTAAAAATTTATGTCGTATTTTTTAGAATATATAACATTCTATGTTCGTATTTTTAAAATAAAATTATGTATCCGTTCTTAGCTTTAATAATGGTTTTATCTCTCCATATCACGAGTTTGTTTAGGCCAATGGGTGTGGGACACACCGTGACTTCTTTTCACAGGGGAAGGTTGAATTGTGGCCCGTGACCACGAACTCTAACAAGAGTTGGTATATTATTAGCCAACCAGTCCCATTCCCCCCCATTTTCTCTGTGGCGGTGCTTTTAATTTGTACCTCCTCTTTTGTTTACACGAGCATGTGACTGCATGGCTTATTTTCTTGTCCTCTTCTGGTATCAAGATTTTCAAATAAAGCCCTTCAAAGTTGAAGAATATTTGGGGTCTTTTCCTTTTCCATGGACAAATTCAACAGTTATTGTTGTATGTTTGATCTGCAGAAAAATTCTGCAGGAAGGAGACTGTAACACTCATGTCAGGTTGAGAAGAAGTGAACAAAAAGTAAGATCACATCACATTCAATTGTTTTTGGTACCAAAAAAGAAGATCGTTTATAAATACTTTCAGTTATCGTTTACGTCGTATATTCTTTTGTTATACGTATTCAAATGGATTTTTTTTCAGGTTATTATTGATAACGGACTTGTTGAAGTCACCATCGAGGACCCATCTGGTCATGTGATGGGAATAAAATACATGGGGATGGATAATGTGATTGAATGTAGAAACCCGAGCTCTAGTAGAGGGTAATGCACCTTTTAACTAAAACTAGGGCTACGAATTTATAAATCCGTCCTCTTTTAACATAAAATTCTACGTACGTCTCCGATTATAGGTACTGGGATTTTGTTTGGGATGGTTATGCCTTTGACAAGTGAGTTCTCCTCCATCTATACATACATGATTGCTTGAATATCTATCATTCCTTCAATTAATTTGTTGTTCTCATGTTACTTCACAGAATGGAAACAAAATATGTCGAGGTTGTAGCACATACTGATGACATTGTAGAGCTTTCCTTTACCAAAAAATGGAATTTTACAACAGATTACGGCAAGACAATTCCCTTGAACATTGACAAAAGGTATGGAATCTTCCCCGTGTTTGAAGGTGCAGCTTGAGTTTAACCCTTGAGTCAAACATTCTTGCAGGTTCATAGTCCGACGAGGCGTTCCGGGGCTGTACATGTACGGTGTTTTAGAGCGCAAGGAGGATTTTCCGGATGCTCAGATGTATCAATTAAGGATTGTCTTCAAGCTCAATGCAGACAGGTAAAACAAAGATGAATGCTTGACAACTACGTAACATCCGATACTAACGTCTTTGGTGTGACATTTCGAATCAGGTTCGGGTTCATGGCGATATCGGACACCAGACGAGGGATCGTGCCTAGGGGAGATGATCGAGATAGTACTCGTAGTCAGACTCTTGCCTTCAAGGAAGCTGTTCTGTTAACCAATCCATCCAATCCGCAACTTAAGGGAGTGGTATTTGCTTCTAAATTTTACTCCTTTGTCCGAGTCATGCCAATCCATGATAAGTTGTGGGGTGCAGGTTGATGACAAGTACCAATATTCATGTGAAAACAAAGATAACAAGCTTCATGGATGGATATCCGATAACGATGCGGTGGGGTTCTGGATAATCACCCCTAGCAATGAATTCCGAACCGGTGGTCCACACAAGCAGGACCTCACTTCTCATGTTGGTCCCATAGCTCTCTCTGTAAGACCGTTCACAAAGCTGAATCAAACATATCAGCTTCCATTCAGCTTGAAATGCTTGTCTCAAGGTTGAATGTTTACATGAACTAGATGTTTGTTAGTACTCACTATACCGGGATCGACATAGATGTGACATATAAGAAAGGGGAAGCTTGGAGAAAAGTTTTTGGTCCCGTGCTGATCTATCTTAATTCCGCTTCTTCTGACGATGATTACCGCAGCACTCTCTGGAACGACGCTAAAAGACAGGTTTGTTAGCCGGTAGATGGTTCGGGTTTAACTTGTAATGTGGAAAAAACTCATTAAACACCTTTTGTGTACCATTAGTTGAGTGAAGAAATCGAAAGCTGGCCTTACAATTTCACTAGATCACATGATTTTCCTCGAGCTGAAGAACGAGGAGACGTTTGCGGTCAGTTACTAGTGCGAGACCGGTATTTGTTTATTCATCCCACGTCCATTGCATCTGTAATTCTCTTCTCTTCTCTTACTATTCTTCTCTTTATTTTCAGATGCTTGGATGATGAACCGATGCAGGCACGATCCGCCTTTGTGGGGTTGGCAGCTCCTGGAAATGTAGGATCATGGCAAACGGAAGGAAAGGTTAATATAACTTGTGTCTCACGCATAATTCAACTTTAACCAGGTTTGTTATATCATCTTTTCGGTTTCCAGGGATATCAATTTTGGACTCAAACAGACGACACCGGTCGTTTCGATATTAAGAACGTCCGAGCAGGGGAATATAACTTGTACGCATGGGTCCATGGTTTCATCGGAGACTACAAATTGGACCTCAGTATTACTATCCAACCAGGTAGGTTCAATAAATCAGATGTCCCCATTTAAACTAGCTATTGTTTACTGAATGCATATGCAGAAAATCAGATCAACTTGGGTACCCTTATCTATGATCCTCCAAGAAATGGCCCTACATTGTGGGAAATCGGGATTCCTGACCGGACAGCTGCCGAGTTCTTCATACCGGAACCCGACCCTGCATTCGTTAACCCTTTGTGCCTAGATGCAGCCGATAAGTAAGCTCTGGTTAACTAACGCATTTCAAACCATTCATCAGCTCATAGTTGGTAACTTCTTCCAATGAACAGATTCAGACAATACGGATTGTGGGATCGGTACTCAGAGCTTTATCGTCACGGTGATCTTGTCTACACTGTCGGCGTCAGCAATTATTCTCGGGATTGGTTCTTCGCTCATGTTACGAGGAACACAGGGAACAGTACGAACTGGTCAACCACATGGCAGATCAAATTCAATCTCCAACATGTTAACGAGAGAGGAAACTACACACTACAATTAGCCTTGGCAGCAGCTTCTAATGCTGAATTACAGGTATATAAGTACATACATACATACATATACATACATACATACATACATACATACATGTATATATGTATATATACATCTCACATTACATCCTCTACCATCATGTATCCCTTCTTTTTCCTGATGAATTCATTCATTTACCAATGCATTATTCATAGATTCGATTCAACAATCCAGACGCTGTTCGACCGGATTTTACGACGAACAGAATAGGTTACGATAATGCGGTAGCGAGGCATGGAATCCATGGATTGTACAGAATGTATGGTATTATTGTACCTGGTAACAGATTCAAAGAAGGGGACAACACCATCTTTCTAACTCAGGCCAGAAGCCTTAGCTCATTCAACGTTGTTATGTATGACTATATCCGATTAGAAGCACCTGCAGATTAATGGATTAGCTAGTGCATGTAAAAATATAGGACACTGGGTCTTTTATTTTATTTTTTTCTCTTGTAGTATGATCTTCAAAAGACTCTTAATTTTTGACGAAATATTGACATCGTCACGACTGATCAAAATGTTGTTTATTTCTTATCATAATGATCTTCTCTGCTTTGGACCATCGGATTGATTTGGATATGCGTTTTGTGTTCATTGATAGTTTTTTCACGTCGCTTAACTTTAATTTACGATTTGTCGGTGGCCTTCAGTAGTTTCATCCCATTTTGTGGTTCGTTTGTCGGTGCAGTCAGCTATGTTCATATCTTTATTTTGTTCGAGCTTTTGGTTAGGGTTTTTAACATTTTCCTTATTTGGTCCTTGTGTGATCTAGGTGGTTAATTTTTGTGTCAATGGTTATAAGAAAATATTCTAATTATAATTTTGTTTATTTTACGTTATACTTGTAAATATTTATTGTAATTCTAGATATTTTCTATTTTTAATAAAACTAACGATTTTCTATAAAAAAAATAAATTAATTGGTTTTTACCTTAATAAATAAGAACTATATAATTGAGTAGCAAAAAAGAGAAAGTAATCTCAAAAATTAATATTTAAAATATTTAAGATTTATTTTACCTTAAAAGATACTAATATTTATTGAAATTTAACTTAAAAGTTAAAGTTTAGTAAATTTGAGATTTTATTTACCTTAAAACTTAATATTTACTAAATTCAAGATTTAATGTAATTTAAAAGTTATTTTAATTAATTTGGGTAATTACAAGTCAATATCTATTCAAAAATAACTCTTAATTATTTGACATTGAATGTTCACACTTCTGGTTCTTGAACCCAGAACATAAAAAAATAACAATAATTCTTTTACCATCAAAGTCGTTGGGTTTGTGCTACCTAGGGATGGCAAAAAAAACCCGAATTCGACGGGGAAAACCGAAAACCGAATTAAACGGGGACGGAGAAAAATCGTTTATGCTAAACGGGGACGGGGACGGTTTAGTAATCCCCGCCCCCCGATTACCCGGCCCAATACCCGGCCGATACCTGGCCCGATAAATATTAAAAATAATTATATATATATAATATTAATAAATTTAATTTAAATTAAACTATATATATAATATTTATATATTTAATTTAAATATATATACCTGGCTCGATACACGTTTAAATAATCGTTTATGCTAAACGGGATACCCGTTTCCCCTAGGTTTTCCCCGATTACCCGATGAGGATCCCCGTTTAAATCCCCGCGATTTTTTAAGCGGAAACGATTATGTTTTTTAAACGGGAACGGGAAGGGGGGACCAATACTCGGCCCGAACCCGGACCGTTGCCATCCCTAGTGCTACCTTAAAAGTTAATCTTTAAAATACTTGAAAACTAAATTGCCTTAAAAAGTTAATATTTACTAAATTTGATATTCTACTTACCTTAAAAGTTAATGTCATAAATTTAAGAATTTGAATAATAATATTTATATAAAAATTAAGAATTAAGGAGAAATAAATTAGTTGAGATGAATTTATATTTTTCGGTAATATCAGTGACAGATCCAAAAATATTTTTGCGAGATGACTCACATATGTCAATAACACAAATTTTTTTAATATTAGACGTACGAATAAAATTTCAAGACGAATAATATCAATAAAATAAATAATTAACTAAAATAAATAAATTTTAAGATAAATACGTGTGCCTTCAAATATACATGGATCTTCTTCTTTGCAACACTGAGGTCACATGTGATGTCATGACCACCATGTAAGATCATCCAGAAATGCACTAGATGGTACTATAATGCCCTATAAAAACATGTAAAGAGCACTAGATCTTTCGTCTACCATCCTCTCCTCTCTTCGCTGATCATAATCGATTGGGTCCGAAAATGGCGAAGTCGCCTGAAGAAGAACACCCCATCAAGGCCTTTGGCTGGGCAGCTAGGGACACCTCCGGTCATCTCTCTCCTTTCAACTTCTCTAGAAGGTGATTCTCTTTTCACCAGCTTCCTTCTTCTTCTTCATAGTTTTTAGATCGAATTCTTTTAAATAGTCTTGAGAGGTTATAAGGTAATATCTCTTTATAATCTTTCTTAACGATCGATAAAATACATAGTTACTCGAACTTAAAATCTTAAAATAAATGAGATTTTTTTTACTACGGAGATCACTCGATGAATTTTTTGTTTAACATGTTTGGGGTTAATTGGAGAGTGCAGAGCCACCGGAGAGCAAGATGTTCGGTTCAAGGTGTTGTATTGTGGGATTTGTCATTCAGACCTTCACAGTATCAAGAATGAGTGGGGCTTATCCAAATACCCTTTGGTTCCAGGGTTCGTCTTTCTTCTTACTGTTTTCTATTTTTTTATTTAATTATCGAATTTAATTTATTATTTAATTAATCCGAATAAAAATTTCAACATATCATTAATAGATATAATCAATTAATAGATATAATGTCCGAGTCAAATCATAATTCAGAATCTGTTAAAATCATACATGATATTTGTTTATTTTAACATAAATGAATTTTACATAATAATTTTCTATGATTAATATTTTAACACAGAATTTATTAAAATAATGTCGGTGTGACTTCTCTCGTATGTGAACAAAACTTCTCACGTATCTCAATTATTAATTTTAATTCGTTTTAATACTTAATTTTTTTTTTCAAAATCATAGATAACATATCGTTTTTGTTTCATTTAATATTATTCTTTAAAAATCTAATTCGTTTAATATATAAATTATCATTTTTTGTTTATTTGTTTTAATATTTAAATTTTTAATTTTTTTTAACTTAACGATAAAATTTTAACGGAAGTATTAAAATGAAACAAAAATTAAACGTTATGTATGATTTTGAAAAAAAAACAAAAATTTAAATACTAAAATATATTAAAACAGATAATTTGGTTACTAAATAAGTAGTTTACCCTTTATTTATTTATTTATTAGATAAAAGATAAACATTAAAAAAACAGAAACTTAAATACTAAAATATATTAAAATAGATAATTTTGTTGCTGGTGGGGCCTGGAATCAGTCTATTTAATTTAAAAGGAAAGAGCAACTCCCCCACTCACCCAACTTTTTCACTATCCAACAAATTTCATTCTCCTTAAATTAATAGAATAATGTATGTTTATGTGTAAATATATTATTATTTAATTAAAAAAAAGTAAACACTAACATATTGTAATGATATACGTTTGGGGTAAATTACCCCTTCAGTACATAAACTATTAATTTTAATCTGTTTTGATACTTAAAGTTTTATTTTTTTTAAATCATACTTAAAAATTAGTTTTTATTTTATTTTAGTATTAAAATAAATTAAAATTAATAATTTAGATATTATGCATTTTTCATCATGATAAATGGCAATTATGTGTGTGCCTCGTGTTATGGGAGCGGCATGAAATGAAGCCATTTGTCTCTCATAAGACCATTCAAAACTGATAATGCATAAGTAGCTTTATGGAGATTATCTTTTGTTCTTGTAATGGATATATATTTTTATTTTTTATTGTTAAATTAATCGTCTATTTTAATAATTAATAATTTTTTTAAATATTTCATATTGTGATAGGATCCAATGTAATTATTTTTTTTAATTTTATAATAAGTAAAATTAAGTTATAAAAATGATAAGATATTAAAAATTCAGTGATTTAATCTGAATAGTCTATTTTTTTTATTTGCAGGCATGAAATAGTAGGTGAAGCGACCGAAGTAGGCAGCAAAGTGGAAAAGGTTAAGGTGGGAGATAAAGTTGGAGTGGGGTGCCTGGTTGGAGCGTGCCACAGATGCGACAATTGTGTCAACGACCTCGAAAATTACTGCCCTAAAATCATATTGACCTACAACGGTGTTTACTACGACGGGACCATGACATACGGAGGCTATTCGGATTCGATGGTCGCCGATCAACGCTACATCGTTCGGATCCCTGACGGCATGCCCCTCGACTCTGCGGCTCCGTTGCTCTGTGCCGGGATCACTGTTTACAGCCGTTGAAATATTTTCGATTAGGTGAACCCGGGAAGCATATCGGTGTTGTTGGCCTCGGTGGTCTCGGTCATGTTGCTGTTAAATTCGCCAAGGCTATGGGATGTAACGTGACGGTAATTAGCACTACCCCTAATAAGAAGGCTGAAGCACTTGAACGTCTTGGTGCCGACTCCTTTTTGGTTAGCCGTGACCAGGGCGAACTAAGGTAATATTTGTACGACGACTCCTATTTTTTGCTAAAATAAAAATCGAAAATTGATCTGTTTTCTCTTTCGGGTTCGAGCAGGCTGCGATGGGCACATTAGACGGGATCATAGACACGGTCTCCGCCAGTCATCCGGTTATGCCACTCCTTGGACTTCTGAAATCGCACGGGAAACTTATTATGTTAGGCGCACCGTCCAAGCCACTAGAGATACCCGTCTTTTCATTGCTCGCGGGAAGGAAGACGGTGGCCGGGAGCGGTATCGGAGGGATGAAGGAGACACAAGAGATGATCGATTTCGCGGCGAAACACGACATAAAAGCAGACATTGAAGTGATTCCGATGGATTATGTGAATAAAGCAATGGAGAGACTCGAGAAGGCCGATGTGAGATACAGATTTGTAATCGACATTGGCAACACCTTGGCTGCTACTAAGCCTTGAAGCTGAAGATCAATAATCCCTTGCTTTAAAAATAATTTGGATGTTGTGGTGCTTTTCTGATCCAGTATCGTTTGCTTAAGACTTAGCTTTAAACTGTCTATCAATAAAGAGTGTATGAACAGAAGATTGTATGATTCATGTTTGGAATCCCCCCTTGTGTGATCGAATGAGGGATGGAACTTATCATGTATTTTTTTTTAAAAAATGGGGTGCAAAGTTTATTTTTACTTAAAAAATAAACTTATCATGGACCTCTAGACTTAGAAAATTTGACTCGTACCCGATTACCTGAATCGCTTTACTCGAATCAAAATTCGATACAGACCCGAATATGATAACCTAAAAT